TATGCTTTTCTGTAGGTTTGAAGTATTTTATAGATACATAGGAAGGAGGAGAGAAAGAAAAAAGAGAAAGGAGATAGAAAAAGAACGGAAGGAAGGAAGGAATCTCTCTGCCCTTTTGAAACTTACAGTCAAGTGGAGGAAATAGACAATAAACGAATAAGTAAAATATACAGTGTGTCAGTTGATGCTAGTGCTTTGGAGGAAAAGGAAGAAGCATGGGGAATGCCCAGGTAGCAGAGTTCCGTTTTTGAGCCGGAGGAGGCATCCCTGAGAAGGTGACGTTTGAGAGCAGATCTCAGGTCTTCTGGTTTCCAGACCTGGCTGCTGTCATGTCCATGTACCTGCAACCTCCCACCTGGGGAAGGAGTCATGGTAAAAGCCCAGAATCCAAGACTCTGGGGATTATGAAATGTTAGGAGTATGGGTAGCAGGTACAAATCTCAGTTAATTCAGATGAGCAGGAAATTAATCTATCCTGAATGTTTGTTATGACATCCCACTTCACAAGTGGGCAGAAAATCAGTCTTGATCAGTTTGTTTTCTTCCCCAGCTCTTCTCTCTCACGTGCACACACGTGTGTGTGTGCATTTTCCCTGTGGTTGTGTCTCAGTGTGAGGGTGTCTCAGGCCCCCTTGGCTTACACAGGCCACGTGATCGTTTCATCTTTTGATACGTTCCTCTACTTTTGGATTCCTCAGAACCGTCTGGGGTCATGTTGACCCACGAAATTAAAAAAATGTTCACTCGTAGCTTTTTCTCTGGCTCCCTTCCCAGCTCTCTTATTTGGGAGGAGGTGAAGGGGGAGGGGAAGGAATGTGCATCGGTCAGGGTCAGCCAGGTCACAGTGCAGTAACAACCACCCCCAAAACCTTGTTTCTCAGGTTTTGTGTGCACTCAGGCCCCCGGCCCCCGGCTTCATGTCCCCTCGCTCCAGGACCCAGATGGACGGAACAGCCACCATCCCAAAGGTTGGAGAAAGCAGGGAAGCCTTCCCTTCTCTGACTCATGATGTACTCACTATGCCCCAAGTCCCTTTAGGAATGGTCTTTTGGGGAGGAAGGGGGGCTTTTGAAACCTAAAAAGTTATTCTCTGCTTTCACTGGAATATCCCTTCCCCGAGTCACAGTCCAACAGCCTGAAGTGGGGACAGAAAACACAGAGGGGCAAAGGCACACAATCTTAGATCCCTAGATTCTGAGTATTGTGCGGTCTTAGAATCTGGGAGTCTCACGATCACAGATTTTCAAACTGAAAGGTCTTCGAATCAGTATCTTTCCATGCAGGAACTGCCTCTAAAACCTTCACAGGAGAAGACTGACCACCAATCTTTCCTTGTATTCTCCCAGGACCGAGGAGCTCACCCCAAGGCAGCCTACTCCGTTATGGTTCAGCTCCTAAAGTTCTGCTTTATAAAGTGAGCCAAGCATTGCCTCTCTCAGGATTTTCTGCTTCAGGTCCTGGTTTTCCTGGCAGAGCAAGGGTATAGCCATCACTGGGACAACTGTGGAGATAGGCTGAACTGGCAGCCAGCTTTGGGGAATGAGATCAGGAGACCCCGAACAGCCCTGGGGGCCAAGTGTCTTATTCCTCCGATGCCTGAGGGTCTACTATCATAGTCTGTGGGTCCCTGTGAGGGAGGTTGATAAATGGTAGAGAGAATAAAGGCTTGGACCCAGGCCTAGGTTCAAATGCTGACATCCTGACCCTACTTGTAGGCAACTTTCATTACCTCTGTGATGGGAATAAATAGTAGGAATAAATAATAAATAATAGCACCACCTCCTATGCAGGGCTGCTGTGCAAATCCGATGGGCTCATGTAACTAAACACCTGCCACAATGCCTGGCACATTGTAGGTGCTCAACTCGACCTGGGTTCAAATCCAGGTTCTGTCTCTCCTTATTTGTATGCTCTTAGACTTCACTTCCTTGAACTTCAGATTCCCCATCTCTTAAATGGGGTTAATATTCCTCATACCCCTCAGGGTCTGGTCAGGATTTTTAAGCTCACGTTTACTGATAATGTGCTAGACTGGTTACACGAACTGGGCATTTAATCCTCTACCGAGTAGGTGGAATATTTAGAAGCACCCCAATGTTAGGAATGGAGTAACTGTGGCACAGAGAGGTTCCGTGACCTACCCAAGGTCACGGGCTGCTGAGGTGATGGAGCCAAGATTTGAATCCGGGCAGTTTATCCCCACATAGACCCTACATGTGTCAGGGTCCTGGCACATACGTAGTTGCTCATTTTGTGTTCAAACTGCTGCACCTTCCCCACCCTTTCCCCTAAAATAAGCACAACAGCCTGTGCGACGGGCCGGCTGTTTCCAGCATTCACTCCTGAGTGTCAGTCAGGAGGTTTGACTGCAAAGAGTAGAATACCCTGATGCTCCTGACTTCCACAGTAGAGACCTCTGTGGTCAAGCACTCTGCAGGCTGGGTCGTTCCAGGAGTGGTTAGTTCAGAGGCTCAGTGATGTCATCCGGGACCCGTACTTCAGCGCCAGTGTCTTCCACGTGTTGGCTTTAGGGCTCAGGCATGGCTCCTCGTGGTCTTAACATGGCTGCCAAAGTTTCAGACATCATATCCTCATGCAACCACCTAAAGGGAAGAAGAGAGGAACGTCTCCCTACACGGCTTCTTATAATCGAGGCAAGCCCTCCTCAGAACCCCCTGGCAGACTTTGTGTCTCCTCAGTGAGAACGGGGTCATATTCCCATGGAAGTCCGCTAGGGCTCACTGATAGCCATCTTTCTAGGTGCACGGCCAGGCTACAGTTCCCAGCCCCCTGTGCAGTTAGGTGTGGCCATGTGACCGAGTCTGGCCAATGGGATATGAGCAGAAATAAATGCATCGTTTTCAGGTCTGGCCTATGATCCTTGCCGTCTTTCCCCATCTGCCTGCTGAATAAGGACGAGGAAGGCCAAATCACAAGCTAGGAAGGGAGAGTCTCTGTCCCTCAATGGCTGTACAGATCAAAATGTTTCTGTTAAGACTTCCCATACGGGCATGTGAGAAAGAACCAAACGTGGTGGAAAGCCACTGAAATCTTGGAGGTATTTGTTACAGCGGCTAGCATGACTTAACCCAGCCGATACACAAGCCCGTCCCTGAAAACGAGCCACGGGGACTGGAGACTCTTGAATGGCTTAGCCCCTGGGGCTGGAGAAGAGACTTCTTGAACACATTGCCCACCCCTATCCCAGAGCAAAGGCAAGGCTCTAGAGAGAAGGCCAGAGGCAGGAAAGAGAATGGGCAGTCGTTTCTGGATCTGAGCTGGATCAAGGGCCCCGAAAGGATGGGGCCTGGGAGACGCTGCCTTCCTCCCCGGCCAGTGCTGAGAGCGGCACATACAGGGAGGGGAAGGCTTCTGTAGGTAGCCAAATTTGCCTGGGCTGACCTGCTGTCACCAGCCCCTCTGTTGGCTCAGCCCTCGGGCCCACGCCCCATGGATCCTCTATCCTGTGGACGGCAGAGAATCGGCGGGGAAGGGGGGCTGTTGAATCACCATGCATGATAGCTCCGCTTGAGGAATATGGTTTCTGAGAACAGCTTACCTGGGGACCCTTGGCAAATGGAATCTCCCGAGCCTCAGCCCTGGCGGGCTGTGCAGGGCTTACTTGGGCTGCTGCTCTCTCCTCTCCTTGGGGAGGGGATCTTGCAGGGTGGGTAAAAGGCCAGACTTTCACATATCAGTTCCACAACCTTCTAGCCTGGCCAGCTGGACAAGTGAGCTCACCTCCCTGAACCTGAACATTCCCATCTACAAAGTGAGGAGAGGAAGGTGAGTTCCTTCAACGTGGGTGGAGACGAAATGAAATAATCCAGAGGAAGCGTCACGCTGAACACCATGAGCCTGGTTAGCGCTCCTTAAGTGCTGGCTGTCGTTACTGCCGGGTTGAGGGGGCCCACATAGATTTCATCGCTACCCCCTCCCCACCCTGCTTAGGTCTGACAGGGGCCGCAGCACTCCTAGAAGAGCTTTGTCCTCCCCGGAGCAGATGTGCTGGACAGAAGCCTGCCCTGACCCAGCCCTGACTCCTCCTCTTGTCCACATGCCACTAATCTGCTCCAAGCCTCAGTTTTCCCGCTTGAGCAATGGGTGAAGTCAGCCCTCCCCCACCCCCACTCCTGACCTCACAACTGTTACAGAATTCAGCCGAAGCAGTAAATCATTGCGCTTCGGTACACAGATAACCACAGGCACGCTGCCCTGGGTTCAAAGCCAGCTCTGGGCTTTTCGCATTTTATGACCTGGAAAATGCCATTGAATTCAGGTTCGGGGGCTTTTGGATGGTATCACACTGGTTCCTAGCTCACTGGAGGGATGAAGGAGACCAGCACGTGAAGTACTCAGCTCTAAGCCTGGGACTTAGGAAGGGTTCAATTAATAGTAGCAAGTATTGTTATCACGAGTGCTCTCAGGATTTTGGAAAGTACGGAGAGGGCTGTAAGTTGAGAGGTTCTTAGGTCAATCTCCAGGATACCAAAGAAGAAAGTTCCCCCTTCCCCGTGAGGCCACTTGGGGCCCCCTTCTCTCCCTGCCCCAACTGCTCTTCCAGAGCCCAGTCCCTATACCCTCTTCCTAGAGTTGGAACCACATGGTAGGCAGGGTGTTGCAGGACTGGGAGTCTGGAGCTTTGAGTTCTAGTGTGGCTTCCACTGCTCTCTGGCTGTGTGGCCCCAGGCAAGTGTATCACCCTTTCTCGGCCTCCTTAACAATCATGTGAGGCAATAAGAACTGCAGGTTCTACCCTAAGGACCATGTGATATGACATTCACTGACTGCTTCCTCACAACAGCCAGGGGCCAAGGAGAGAGGGTGTGGCTCCCTAGCAGGCTCAGGGTCAGGGTCACTGCTCTGTGTGGAATCTGGTCTCTGTTGCCCAGAACTGTGTCTCCTGATGCCTAGAATTCCACCATTAGTGACTCATGCCTTTGGGAAATCATCACCCTCACCCTCAGCCACTAACAGTCTCTCGTGGCTTCTCTTTGCAGGGAGCGTTCATATGGCGCACGGTCCCACCGGGTCTCCGCACGCTACCGTGAGGTAGGCAGCGAAGCGAGGAGAGTTTGAATCGGATGCAGAAAGCCATGTGCCCAAAGCGACACGGCAAGTTAGTGGTGGATCCGGAGGCCTGGAGTCTCCTGGCGTCTTGGTCAGTGCACGTATCTCCCTCGACAACTTTGCTTTATAATGCGGCTCTGGATTTTTGTGCTCCCCTTTGTATAACATTATTCCCAACAGCCAAAAGGTGGAGGTAACCCAGGTGTCCATGGGGGATGGTTGAGTGAATGAATGACAAATGTACGTGCAACGGAATATTACTCAGCCTTAATAAGGAAGGACGTTCTGACCCAGGCTACAACATGGATGAACCATGAGGACGTTCAGGTACCTGGAGTAATCAGGTGCATAGAGACAGAAAGTAGAAGTGTGGTGGCCTGGGGCTGGGGAAGGGGAAGGAGAAGTTCATGTTTGATGGAAACAGAGTTTGAACCTCACAGGACGACAAGAGCTCTGGGGGTGGATGGTGGTGATGGTAGCATAACCATGTGAATGGGCTTAATGCCACAGAGCTGTACATTTTCAAATGTTAAGGTGGCAAATTTTATGTTACATGTACTTTGTCAAAGTTTAAAAATTAGTTGCTGGTTTTTTTTTAATTGCTGCGTCTGAGAGGAAGATAGTAAGCCGTAACCTTTTAAAGGACGTGTAACTTTGTTTCTCATGACTTGTATCAGTCGGGATAGGCTAAGTCATACTGCTGTAACAAACAGCCCCCAAAATCTGACTTCTGAGTCAAACACTTGCTCCCTGCCCTGTACCACCTCACACACTAAATCCTGTACCCCATGGAATGCTCTTCCTTGCTGTTCTAAACATCTCCCTACTCTACCTGCACCCTAGGCCCAGGATAAGGCAATGGAATCGGTCAGATTCACCCTTGGCAGGCAATGTGGCTGTGGGTAAGCCAGTTAACTTCTCTAAGCCTCAGTTTACTCATCCGGGAAATGGGGACAATAACAGAACGTATCTTGAGGGGAGAATCAAGGGAGCATTTCACATGGCTTCAGGTATGCCGTCAGGCTGTGGGTCCATTGAAGTCTGGTGTAGAGTTTGGCACCCAGACAGGAATGGGGTAGGCTTTAGCCTCCTGCCGACGAGGCCCTCAGCTTGAACAATCCCAGGAGAAACACCTTCTTCCAGCCAGCCTTGCGTCAGGGCCGGGGAATGGGTGGGATGGGAGCCAGAGGCTGCAAAGACAGTTGTCTCGAGCCTGAAATACTTTTCTCCCCAATGATCTGTTTTCAATTTCTCATTCTTCACCCCCCCCCCCCCTTTTTAGAACCTGCCCTGCCAAGGAACAAGCATGTTAGTGTGCGTCAGCCCCTGGCCCAGCCAGCATCCCACCCTTGGGGAATTTCTGCTTTAAATAGTGAGGCATGGGACCTTTCAACATGCCACGTGTGTTCCAGCCTCCACACCTTTGCGTGTGCTGTTCTTTCTCCCTACCATGCTTTTCCCTGTCTCCTGGGTCTATTCCAATTTTGCTCATCACCTGTCAAAGTTTGGCTGCAGGAGCCTCTCCTGCCACAGCTCCTCTGATTGCTACCCCCACCCCCACTGTTAACACATCTCCCCAGGTCTGCACACATATCTTGATTTCTTGTGTCCTCTAGTTACCTAACACGTTTGAAAGCACAGCGTCAGCCAGTTCTTTGCAAAGTCTGAGGCTTTCATGAATTGAAGAGTGCTTTCATCATCCTCATGTCAATGGGAGGCGATTATTATTGTCATATCCCTATTTTCCAGATGAGAAAATGGAGCTCCTGAGAGCAGAAGTGTGTGGTCGCACAAATGGGAAGTCAGGACCTCCATATGTGAGAATAGAGGCTCTTGCTAAGCCATCCTGCTGGGCTGAGCACGGTAGGCAGGTGCCTAGAAGGGCACCAGCAGAGGAGGGGGCGGGTACGGCAGAACCGGTAACCTGCTTCTTCTTTCTGGACTTGCAGCTGGCCTACATTTCCCAGCTTCCCTTGCAAGGGAAGCAAGGTCTTTTTGAGAGACTGGTTAAGAAAGTGGGCCCAATTCTCCATCCCTCACTGTTCCCACGCCCCTTTGCAATGTGACTTTGACCTAGCTCCTCCATTCAAAAAGTAGATTTTATTTCCCTCAAAGATGGCTTGGCCTTGGGTGTTGCTTTTGTCAACAGAATGTGGTAGAAGCAACCTCGTGCTAGTTCTGGGCAGGCCCTTAAGAGACCCTGCAGCTTCTCTCTCCCTCCCTCCCTCCTTATCTCTCTCCCTCTCTCTCCCTCTCTCATTCCCTCTCTCCATCCCTCTCTCCTTCCCTCCCCTCCCCCCCCCTTCCTCTGCCAGGGCCCTGGAGAATGGGAGGGCACATGGAATGGAGTCATGTTGTCTCAGCAGCTTTTAGATAGAGACAATTCTGCCGTCACTTTCAGTCCCAAACATGGTCTCCACTCAAATTGTATCCAGTCAGGATACTCAGGGAAATTCCCAATTTGATTTGGGTTTCGACTGTCTCCCCTGCTTCTTTCCCACAGTGGGGAAGGTGGGGTGGGGGCCTTCTCCATCCCTCCTCCCCCTCCCCTGCTTGTGGGGCTGGGTGGAGGTGGTAAGGGGAGAGGAAGGGTCTTAATCGAGCTGCCGCCATCCTGGCTGGCTTCCAGTGTTCTAACCAGCAGACGTTTTGTTTTGTTTTATTATTATTTTTTAATTTAAATCCAAGTTAGTTAAAATATAGTATGATAGGGATTTCAGGAATAGAATTTAGTGATTCGTCACTTACATATAACACCCAGTGCTCATCCCAACAAGTGTCCTCCTTAATGGCCGTCCCCCATTTAGCCCATCCCCCCCCAGCCAACACCCGGCCAGCAGCGCTCAGTTTGTTCTCTATTTGAGTCTCTTATGGCTTGTCTCCCTCTCTGTCTTTATCTTATTTTTGCTTCCCTTCCCTTATGTTCATCTGTTTTGTTTCTGAAATTCCACATATGAGTGAAATCATATGATATTTGTCTTTCTCTGACTGCCTTATTTCTAGCCAGCAGACATTGTTGTGGGCTTCATGAATTTGGCCATTGCTGCGGGCTCCTCTTACCCTTGACCTTGGTGGATGCGCCAAGTCCCCTGCCACTCCTTGCTCAGCCCTAGGAATCCCACACCCATCTCCAGCTTCTGGGGATAGGACCCAAGATGACAGAACCCCCCTCCCCCCGCCTCAGCCCCCAACTGGTCCAGAAACCCTCCTAGTCTCTAGTCCAACATATGGAGGTGCTGCCTCTGTTTGGTTATCTCAGGCGGGGGTCCCTCAGGCCTGAGCTGCACCCCCTTCCTGCACAGCACCTCACCAAGCCCCCCCCCCCCGCCCCCGCCTTAACTTTCTCTAAGTCATGAGGGGCGAAGACGGGTCCTTGCCCACTTTCTTTGTTAGTCCTTTGTGCATGGTAATCTGGTCTGGAAGGTCACTTCTATCCTATCTCTGTGTCTTCTGTTTAACAGTTTGATATCTTAAACAAATGGAAACATTCCTTGCACTCTGTTCTCCCCCTTGACTTTTATTACTCACAGTATCTTGAGTATTTTGCTCACCTTATAGACACCTCCCTTTTTAAAAATTTTAAAATGGTTAAATATGCATAATATCAAATTTGCAATTTTAGCCATTTTTAAAAACATTTTTTAAAAACATTTATTTTGAGAGAGAGAGAGAGAGAGAAAGCATGAGTGGAGGAGGGGCAGAGAGAGAGAGAGAATCCCAAGCAAGCTCCACACCACCAGCGTGGAGCCCGACATGGGGCTCGAACCCATGAACCATGAGATCATGACCTGAGCCAAAGCCTAATGTTCAACCGACTGAGCCACCCAGGCGCCCCTCAAGACCCTACTTTCAAATCTTTTGGGTATTCACCTAGACATGGGATTGCTGAATGATATATGGTAATTCTATTTTTAATTTTTTGAGGAATTGCCATACAGTTTTCCACAGTAGATACACTGTTTTCTATTCCCACCAACAGTGCACAGTCTCCACATCCTTGCCAACACTTCTTATTTTCATTTTTTTTTTAGACTCTATTTATTTTTTAAAGTCATCTCTCCACCCAACATGGGGCTTGAACTCACAACCCTGAGATCAAGAGTTGCACGCTCTACTGGCTGAGATAGCCAGGAGCTTCTATTTTTGTTTTTGTTTTGTTTTGTTTGATAATAGCCATCCTAGTGGGTGGGAGCTGAGATGTTCCAGTTTTTTGCTATGATGAGAAAGTGCAATGGAGAACCTTGTACTTGCTTTATTTCACACATGTGAAAAATATATCTGTAGTTTAATTCCTAAAACTAGAATCACTAGATCAAAGGGTATATGCTTTTTTTTTTTTTTTTAGAACTTCTTACAGAAGCCTGACATATACACAAAACTGAGAGTTTAGCTGGTGAATTTTCACAAAGTAATCAGACTCCTGAAGCCAGTGCCGGATCAACAGGACACTGCCAGCCCCTCAGAAGCCCCTTCACAGCCCCCAAAGAGGAGCCATCACCCTGACTTCTAACATCACAGGTTAGCTTTGCCTCTTTTGAACTTTGTGCAAGTGGACTCACAGCACACGTGTTGCTCTGTGCGTGAGCTCCATCCACACTGTGCGTGCGCTTGTTCATTCTTTCTGTGCTGTTCCGTGTGAATATACCAAAATCTATTTCGCCGTTCCGCTGCTCATGGGCATTTGGGCAATTCCCAGTCTGGAGGCATTTCAAATAGTGCTGCTATGGAAATTACTAGTATAGTGCTGTCCAGTAAAATCTACAGGGTATACTCAAGAACTGAAAGCAGGGACTCGAACAGATATTTGTACATAAGCGTTCATTGCAGCATTTACAACAGCCGAAATGTAGAAACAACCCAAATGTCCATCAGCTGATGAATAGATGTGTACGTAAACACGATGGACTGTTGCTCAGCCTTAAAAAGGAAGGACACTTGGACACCGTGTGAGCCGTGAAGACGTTATGCTAGGTGAAATGAGCCAGACTCAAAAGAACAAACACTGTAGGATTCCCTTATATGAAGGAGAGACTAGAGCAGTCAAATTTTGAGAGGCAGGGACTAGAATGGTAGTTTCCAGGGCCTGGGAAGAGGGAACCGGGAGCTGTTGTTTAACGGGACAGAGTTTCTATACAGGAAGATGAAAAAGTTCCGGATGTGGCTGGTGGTCACGTGTTCACAGCAACGTGATCATTCTTGGTGCCACTAAGCTGTACAGTTAGAAATGGCCTCGATAATGAATTTGATGTTATGTGTATTCTGCTACGAAAAAAATATGAGCCACAGATGCAAATCACCTACGTAATTTAACATTTTTCTGGCAGCCATGTTTTAAAAGTAAAAAAGAAAAAGTATAACTTGAAAAATGATTTAACTCCATCTATCAAAAATCTCATTTCAACACAACATCAATATAAAAAAACTATTAAGGAATTAGTTTACTTTTTTTTTTCATACTGACAAAATTTGGTGTGTATTTTATACTTACAGCTCATCTCAGTCGGGACCAGCCACACTTCAAGTGCTCAGCAGCCAGGTGTGGCTGGTGGCCGCCATATTGAATAATGCACGTCTAGTACGAGTCTTTCGATTCATGTATTTTCCATGCCCTTTGGATGCATGCGGATTTGCAGTTTCAATAGCTATTACCAGATCGCCTTCCATAAGCCAAGTTTTAAACCCATTGGCAATGTATGAGGGCACGTTTCTCCATACCCTCACCTGCACAGCGGCCAATTTAATAGATCACAAGTGCCAGCTTGTGGATTTAACACAGATTTCACTTATTAGGAGTGAGCGAAACCTCTTTTTCTATGTTAAAAGCCATTGGGTTTCCTTTTCTGTGAACCATGGGCTCACCTCAGCTGTTTTACACTCCCCTGCCCACGTCTCCGTGCTCCTCAGGCCCCACCTGAACCTGGGACTAAGGGGGCGCCCAAGGCCAGGCATTTCAGAATCCTAGAGTAGCCTTAGCCAGACTGTTCCCGGCAGGGAGAATCCCAGTGGCCAGAGCTCTGGGAAGCCGGGCTTATCTTCTAGGGCGTGTCTCCCTCTGCTGGCAGTGCTGAGTTTCTGCACCTGAGCTCAGACCAGCACAAGAGGCCGGGCAGATGGGGGGGGGGGGGGCGCGCCTGCCTCGGGAGCCTGGTGTGATCTCGCTTCTAACCACTTATTGCTGTGTGACCTGGGTAAGCAACTTCACCTCTCTGGGATCTCCAGCTCCTATCTGTAAAACGGAAATAGTTAGCCATTCCTCTGAATCTGAGGTTTGCTGGAGGAACAATCAAGTGACAGGACATTAATGGGGTGTGGCACAAAACAAGTTCTAAATACAAGGTAGCTGGGGGTTGGGGTTGTTGATTTCTACTCCTGGAGGAGAGGGAAGGCGTAGCGAGGCGCCTAGTAAAGGAGGCAGAGGGACAGCTGGATGTTTATAGGTCCACCCCTGCCTCACCAGCTCCCGTTTCCTATTCTGTGGAATGGCCGCCTCAACCCAAAACAAGAGGCTGGGACATGCTGTAATGCCTGGGACCCTCACACCCATTAGACCCCATGCCTGACCTGGGCAGGGCCCCAACCTTCTCCCACACTGGGCTGGGCGCACCAAACTGTTGAACAAATCCAGGCTGAACGCCCACCGAGGTTTTGGTCTCTCCTAGCCTGGGCTCTCTCCCCCAGGGATGCTGTAGAAAGGAGCACTGTGATGGACGGGCCCCCTGTGATCCCATCACCTGAGCACCCGCTATTTGGTGGTGCTGGCTGAGGGCAGTTTTACCAGAGGCAGTCTGTGCCCCACCCGCCACCACCCTGCCATAGGGCTCCATCCTCTTATCGGACATTCAGCTTCTGCTTAATTGACGATTACACCCAAATCCTTCCTCTGCTCTAAAACCTCCCATAGCGCCCCCACTGCCTGCCAAAGCAGTCCAGATTGAGTGTCACTCTGACATCCAAGACCACCATGGCCCAAGTTTGCTCTGTGGAGGGTAACCCTAGACTGCCTGAGAAGTATCCATGAACATTGCCTCCTTCCTTCAAGAGTGAACTAAATGCTACTTCATTCATTCATTCCACTGTCATCCGTTCATTCGTTTAACAAAATGTGTCAAACAAATTATTAATGTATATTTATCACCTGTGATTATGAAAACATTCTAGACAGTGGAGTAGAGACAGTAGTCTTAACTAATTACAACTAAAGTGTCTTCATGTTGCAAACTGTATCAAATACGGAATCAGGTGAATGCACTATAGAGCCCCTCTCCAAGGGTCTTGTGAGGGGTGTGACCCTGCCGTGTGTCCAACCACGCAGGGCTGTCACATGGCTCAGGAAGGCTTCCTTGACGATGCTCTCTCCTATGAGCACCGAGGGCTTACCTCCTGGCCCTGCCACCAACCAGCTACATGCCCCTGGTAAGTCATTTTCCCAAGTCTCAGATTATATATATCAAGTAGTAATTGATGGTCCCCACCTTGAGAGAGCTATTGTGGGAATTACATGAGATTAGGTGTCAAAGTGCCTGCACATGCTCAGCACTTGTGTGGCCACCATCATTAGCAGCAGGAGGAGCAGTTGACTTCTGCAAGGTGGGCTCCCAGGTCCCTGAGGGATCCAGAGGTTTCCCAGGTCCCTGAGGGATCCAGAGGTTTTCATTCCTTGCCCACTAGAGGGCACCAGAAGTCACGGACTTGTCCAGTGCTATGACCCTGGCTAAGCCGGCCCCCAAGCTCCCAAGGGGGTAAGAGCGAGGGCCTTCTGGGCTCAGAAGAGAACCCCAGGACCATGTAAGAGCCTGGCAATTATCCTGTGTCCCTAGGTCTGGCTCACAAAGACTCCCCAAACCTGAGCATCAGTAAATGGAAAGGCAGCCCTGTCACCATGCCCAAAGCCCTACTGTCCATCTCTGGCTGCGTCCCACAGTCCGAGACAGTGTGGGCCAAAGAGCTCTGGCTTCTGAAGCTGGCTCTTCACATTTCTGTGTGACCTTTGGCAAGTGACATGACTTCTCTGAGCCTCAGTTTTGTTTCCTATAACATGGAAATGTTGTAGGTCCCAAAGAAGGGAAGGGCCTCTATGTGCCGAGGGCTGGCCATGACAGCTCGTGTTGCTTTCCATCGAGTAAATATGCTACAGTGTAATTAGCTGTTTTCTGCTGATCACAAATGCAATGTATTGGTTAATCCGAATGCTTTTTTAAAAACTTTTTTTTAATGTTTATTTATTTTTTGAGAGAGAGAGACAAGAGTGTGGGCAGGGGAGGGACAGAGAGAGGGAGACACAGAATCCAAAGCAGGCTCCAGGCCCCGAGCTGTCAGCACAGAGCCCGACATGGGGCTCGAACTCATGAACCACAAGATCATGACCTGAGCCAAAGCCGGATGCTTAACCGACTGAGCCATCCAGGTGCCCTAATTCCAATGCTTTTTAAAGCGTTTTAGCACGAGCCAGGCCCTGTACTGGCTTGACAGGCAAAAATGAAATGACTAGTTTTGTTAGGGGCAAGGAGATTCCGAGTGATCTCCCCCACCTCAGCCCCTCTGCATTCTCCAAACTCTCTGCAATGTTGACGTATTGTCTTTACAATGGTAGAAAAGAAGGAACACTGATGGCACACCTACTATGCACCAAATGTTTTACTTCATCCTTCTTCTGAGTCTGTAGGCTCCATGCAGACAGGGACCGTCTGGCTTTCTCACTGTTATTTTCTCTATGCATGGCACATGGTAGGTCCTCAATAAATATGTGTTTAGTGATCAAGAATGTTTGTGCAACGTTTACAAATAAGGAGCTCTAAGGTTCAGAGAGGTTGTGTGACTTGTCCGAGGTTACCCAGCTAGTAGGACAGAGGGCCGGGGTCCTGAGGAATTTGCTACTCAGTGCCTGTCCCTCACCCCCAAACCCCCTTTGCCCAGAACAGCTTATTTTGTAAAGATGTATTTATTTAGTACTCGTTAAGCAACGACCCAAAGGGTAGGCACTAGAATTTTCCCCATTTTATAGATGGGGAAACTGAGGCACCGATCAGTTAACTAACATGCCCAGGTCATACAGCCAGTAAATGGTAGAATCAAGATTCTAATCCAGGAAGTCTGTCACTAAAATGCTTGCCGTTGACCGCTATGTGAGGCCTCTAGATGTGAATCTTGTCTTCTCAACTCCTTGGGGACCTTTGGAGGACCTGGATGCTGTCTTCTTTTCTGCAGCCCCTGGAGCTCCTGGCACAGGGTTGGGCTGTATGTAGGGTCTCAGTTCAGGCCCTCCAGCTGGGGATTTGCCCAGCAGATGAGGCCCTCTAGTTGCTGTCCAGAAGTTAGTGGGTGGCCCTTGGTTTCTAGCACAAGGTCATTGCTGCCCTTTGAGCCTATAGCCACCTGTCCCTGCCTCACCCAGTCCTGTACACATACCTGCCAGCAGCAGACGGTGCTTTGAGGGTAAGTTGGACTTTGGGCCCTTTATCTGCACCCCTTTTCCCACTCTTAGACATAAGTCCAAAAGTGTATGGCCTCTATGCACATGCATATGTGTGTGTGCATAGCTCACACGTACACATGTGCCCATGCGCATACCTGTGGATATGAGCAGTCCTGCACGTAAGTGCCCATGTGAGTCTAGGTGTGGCACGAATGCTCCCGGGTATGTCCAAGGCTGCAGGCGCGGATCTGAGTGTGAACATGAGTTTATGTGCAGCTGTGCACATGTGTGGGTAATGTGGAAAGACAGACCACCATAGCGGAAGGGAACCCCTTGCCAGACATGTGGTAAGTGCCATAATATTAGCTACTGTATTGTTAGCCTCCCAAGTTGCGTGGAGATTCTATAAAATCTCCACGGTGTAGCTTTGAAGGATCTGGCTCAAGGAATGCTTCTGTGGGATGCTCAGGTGGGTCAGTCAGTTAAGCGTGCAATTCTTGATTTTGGCTCAGGTCATGATCTCACAGTTTGCGGGATCGAGCCCCGAGTTGTGCTCTGTGCAAACAGTGAGGAGCCTGCTTGGGATTCTCTCTCTCCCTCTCTCTCTGCCCGTACCCCACTCACTCTCTCTTTATCTCTCTCAAAAATAAATACTTTTTTAAAAAAAGAAATGGTTCTCCCATCACCCTTAAATCAATAGTTATTTCTTCTTTCCCTCAATTTTATCATTGCAAGGGCACCATAACAATAGTCCAGGGAGTTTGGGAAATAGAGATGGGCAAGGGTGGGGAATCTATCACCGGGGCCCCCACCACCCCTACCCAGTGGTATTTGCATCTTTGCTGTTCCTTTCCCAGCGTCGTCCATCTGTCAGCTAGCTCGAGGCTTGGAACACAGCACGTTGGTCAAAACGCATTTGAATGAATTAACAAACATACGTTGTTTTCAGATATGATGACTGAACTGGGTATTTTTCAGCCTGCTTTTGTTTACTTATCGTAAGCATTTTCCATGTGACAACCAGTCTTTATATTGAAGATAATAGAAGAAAATTAGAAACTACCCCATGTCCCCAAACAAGGAAGCAGTCATTTATGGAAGAGCAAGCTAAGGAGTGTCATGAATTCATCATGGACATTTTTTTTTTCATATAAGATTTTTTTTCCCTCTTTTTGGGACATGTTAGTGTTTCCATACTGGGAAAAGGGTGTCCCAGGATTTATCTGTCCCCGGAAACAAAGCAGATTCCATTGAAAAAGATGGAGATGTTAGCCATCAGGGAAAAGCACACCAACACCCCAATGAGATCCGGCTACACACCCACTAGGATGGCTAAAAATAAAAATAAAAAAAGACCGACAGTAACAAGTGTTGGTAAGGATGTGAAGGAATTAGAACCTTCATATACTGCCGGTGGGAATGTAAGGTGGTGTAGCTGCTTTGGAAAATAGTCTGGCAGATCCTCACAAGGTTAAAAATAGAGCTACCCTATGACCCAGCATTTCCACCCTGGGGTATATACCCAAGAGGAATGAAACGTACATCCACACGTAACTGTTCACAGCAGCATTATTCATGAGAGCCGAAAGGTGGAAACAATCCAAGCATCCTTCAGCTCGTGGATGGATCTATGAAATGTGGTCTTTCCACACAGGGGAATATTGGCCAGCAATACCAGGGAATGAAACACTGATTAAACATGGATGAACCATGAAAACATTATGCTAAGTGAAAGAAGGCTGTCACAGAAGACTTTGCAAGGTTTCCATTTTGTATGATTCCATTTACTTGAAGGGTCCGGAATAGGCAAATGCATAGAAAGTTAACTGGGGTTGCCTAGGGCTGGAGGGGGAGGGAAATCAGCAGGAGAGATGGGAAGGACTACAAATGGGTCTGGGGGATGCTGAAGAGGTTGCAAAAGTGATTGTGAGAAATATTCTCAAAAGCCATTGAATTGCACACTTTAAACGAGTACATTGTCAGGCATGTAGATTTTATCCCCATAAAGCTGTTGTGGGTCTTTCAAAAAACGCTGGAGACCCACGATGATGATGGAAATACACAGCACCATTTACTGAGAGCTGGACCATGGGCCAGGTACTAGTCAATGTCATTTCACTTCCAAAGTAACCCTGCTAGGTTATTTCCCCTGTTATACAGATGAGGACACTGAGGTTCTGAGGGTTTGAGTAACTGGCCCAAAGGTCACTCAGTTCTTTAGTGGTACAGCTGTGATTTGAACCCAGATCCATGCTCAATGTGGAAGTGCTTTTGCACTTAGTTCTGGCTCAAGATGGTGACGTAGAAGGATCCTGAACTCGCCTCCTCCCAGACACTGGATATACTAGATATGCAGCTACTTACAGAACAATTAGCTGAATGACTCCCACACATCAGGCGAAGGAGAAAAAAACCCACATCAAAGCAGGTAGGAGAGGCTGAGACACATTCTCGCCACAAACCTCCCCCCTAGTGGGGAGACTCACAATTGGGAGGGAACGCAAAAACTCTGAGCTTCTCCCTGAGGAGTGAGGGGTTTGAACTCTGCATCTGGTACCCCAACTTTGAAGACCTGCCCCTGAAGTACCTTTATTGCCTCCTTGGGAGGAGCCGGGAGCTGGGGCACCAGGACAGCTGGACAGATAAACGTACAGCAACAGGACAGGTGGGGCCCAGGGTCGGGGGTCTCCTCCCTGCCCTTTATCTGGCCTGGGCAGCCAGAGGTCACGGTCAGGGCTCTCTATCACTCCCTCAGGCCTTCTCCCAGCGTCTCCCTGTCCAGGACCCTTCAAGCAGACACCCAGCAAAGTGCTGTCCAAAAGCACCAGGACTGGTTTGGCAAACAGAATCTGCTCCAACCTGTCCACCAGGAAGCCCTCAGGTGTTCCTATCTTTACTGTACGGAGATAATCATACATGTGCACAGAGGTGTGTGGACAGAGATGTTCATCACAGCATTGTTTCTAACAGGGGAAAACTAGAAAGAACCCAAGTGCCCAGCATGGAGGGACTGGTTACCATACAACAGAACGCAGTGGAGGAATCTGACGCAGGCCTTAGAGCTCCCGCACCCCTGCTGGCCACCGTGCTGTCCCCCACCACCCAGACACCCCCTGGTTGCATCTTACCATCTAAGCGCACTAAACTCCTTATGGTCCCCAAATCCCCCCCACATTTCTGTCTTCTCAGAGGTTCCCACTTGCTGTTTCCTCTGCCTGCAATGCCACTTCTTCTTTTTTTAAGATATTTTTTAATCTATGTTTATTTTTTGAGAGAGAGACAGAGCATAAGTGGGGGAGGGTAGATTGAGAGGGAGACTCCAGGCTCTGAGCTGTCAGCACAGAGCCCAATGCGGGGCTCGAATCCATGAACTGTGAGATCATGACCTGAGCTGAAGTCGGATGCTTAACTGACTGAGCCTCCCAGGTGCCCCTTTTAAAAAATGTTTTTTAGTGTTTTTTTATTTTTTATTTTTGAAGTATTATTCTCTGGCTCCTGGGCAGGGGGAGGGCCCCCCTGGTCCTTCCACATCAGAACATGGTCACACTCTCTAGGACTGACCAGGTAACGGTCTGCTACCCATGCTGGATGCCAGAACATGAGGCTACTATCTTTCTGGCTATTTGCAGTATCTACTCTCAGAGCAGGCATCTTTCAGTGAGTTTCTTGGCAACTAGAATAAAAGCCAGACTTGTTTTCATGGTCTACAAGGCCTCACGTGTTCCAGTCAGAGCTCACTTCTTCAACTCACCTGTAATTTTTCTCACTACTCTGCTCACTGACCAAGATGGTTCTCCAACGTGCATTTCTGCCTCAGGACCTTTGCATTTGCCTATTTCCTCTACCTTGAATGAATGACCCAGTGATCAAGACCTAGTCCTTCACCTCAAGTTGCTCATAGTCTGGTGGAGGAGGCAGACACATAAACCGGCCCTACTCTGGGCCCTGTTCTACTTGACTGTCAAATGAAGGTGGCCATCTGCCAGTCCCTCTCCCCTCCCCCCCCCCTCCCTTGCAGGCCATTAGAGGGTCCTGGGCCAGAGTGGAGCCTGTTCAGCACGGCATGCAGGGCCCAGCAGGCGTGAATGGTGGTCTGGTCATTTTGTAAGGGGGCTCAGCTCCCTGACTCCCTGATGGACCGGGGGTAGGGGCAGGGGAAGAGGGAACACAATGGCAGGCTGTTTCCTATTTTGTCCTCGGCTGTACCCAGCTGGGTTCAGCAGCCCCTGCTCTGAGATCACTGCCACCAGGTGCAGCCTGGCCTTTAGCAGGGCCCAGCTGAGGCTGGGTGGGGCCTCCACAGGGTCAGGTGTCTGGTGAGCAGATCTCCCCTTCCCCAGCCAGGAGGGATTGGGGCAGGCTGCAGGGCACCTCCAGCCCTGGTGCCTTTCCTATTGTGAGTCTCTCTTTGCACAAACTTGACTCCTCTCCTCCCAGGAGGGGTCCCAGAGAGCACAGGATGCCAGAGGCCCCGAATAATCAGTTTTCAGGCACTCCCCTCTGCTCTTTTGGCCCATTCCCGGCCCCCCTACTGCTTAAGGGAATAGAGTGTGTATCCTTTACATAGACTCACTCTGCTGCCCTACAGAATCCTTTTATTCCTGTTTCCCTAGTGGAAAAAGACGATTGTGAACCTTTATTTGTCTAGCAGGTAACTTTCAGTAAATTAAAGCAGTATGTGAAGTCACTAGGACAGCACCCAGTAGGGTTCCTTATTCCTTTTTGATGTATGAGGAGGCTAAAGCTTTGAAAGATTGTGAACACAGGGATTCAGGGAGGAAAGAGGCCTAGAAACTCATCAGGTACCTAAGATGTGATGAGCACTTTATAATCAGGATCTAATTTCAGGGCTGCCTGGGTGGCTCAGTCGGTTGAACATACAACTCTTGATTTCGGCTCAGGTCATGATCCCAGGGTCCTGGGTTGGATCCTGACATCCATGCTTAGCGAGGAACCTGCCCGGGATTCTCTCTCTGCCCCTCCCCCGCTTACATGTGTGTGCATGCACTCTTTCTCAAAAAAAAAAAAAAAAAAGTATAGTCAGGATCTGATCTCACCTTCAGTCCTTCAAGGTCGGCACGTTAGTCTTTGTTCAGCAGGTGAGGTCACAGGCTGAGAGAGGTGAAGTGAGGTGATTGCTCAAGGAGTCATCAGAGCCAAGTGGTGGTGGATCTCAGACTCAAAGTCAAGTTTGGCCACCTGCTAAAGCCAGTGCCCTTAATCTCGGTGTTTACTGCACGTTAGCTGCATAGTCACACTAAGAGGTAGGTCATTGGCGATTTTGCTCCAGGAAGAAAACAGAGGGTGAGAGAAACTGACAGATTGTCAGTATCCTGCAGCAGGTAAGACAGAAAGTTCTGGTTATTTGTACCAGCTCAGGATGAGAAGGAGTGGCAGGGTCTTTGAAGGTCATCTATCCCAGCCCTCTCGTTTTACAGAGGAGAAAACTGAGACCCAGAGAAGGGAAGCAACTTACCCAATGTGACACGGTTAGCAGAAGAATACTCAGGGCTCTTCCTCTCCTACCAGAGTGGTTTGAGTTCACGGGCAGGGATGGCAGCTCACCATCACCACCTTCCTTCAGCAGTAGGTCAGTCCCCAGGCTCTGCATGACTGTCTTGCCATCTCACAGGAATCACGTTGGTCCCATTAATGGATACTATTATGCAGATTGGACTTGGTGATCTTAGATGCCTCATTAACACACATGCAGTCAGAAGGCGGGGAGACAGGACCTTTGTCAGGCTAGGTTCCGCAGAGAAACAGAACCAGTAGAAGATTGTGTGTGTGTGTGTGTCTGTGTCTGTGTGTGTGTATACACAGAGTGGAGGGGAAGGTGGGGAAGTCGGATTGATTTATATATTGGCTCACACAATATATAAGGCAAGTCCAGCCACAATGTACTGGACAGGTCAGCAGACTAAAAACATAGAATGTCCATGTTACAGCCTTGAAACAGAATTATTCTCATCTGCACAGACTGGAACCCCCTAATTCCAGCCATTTATTTTTTTGTTTCTTTTTTTTTTTAATTTTTAAAAATTGTTTTAACATTTATTTGTTTTTGCGAGACAGAGAGGGACAGAGCATGAGCAGGAGAGGGGGAGAGGGAAACACAGCATTTGAAGCAGGCTCCAGGCTCTGAGCTGTCAGCACAGAGCCTGACACGGGACTCAAACTCACGCACCGTGAGATCATGACCTGAGCTGAAGTCAGATACTTAACCGACCGAGCCACCCAGGCACCTCCCCTCCCATTCCAGTCATTTAATGTGGTGATCCAAAGCATGAGCTCTGAAGTCAAAGAATCTGTTTGTACCACCTGTATGGGCTCTGTAACCTAAGCTGGTTATTTAGTCTCTTTGAGCCTTGATTTCCTCCTATGTAAAATGGGCTTTATGACTACCTGTTTTCTAGGATTTGCCTTAAGGATTAGGCATAAGCAACACCCGACACAGAGCCTACTACATAGTATGCACTCAACTCGTGTTAGCTATCATCATCATCATCGTATATGTGTGAGTGGTTAAGGAATCACTGAGATGATGGATGAGAAAGACTTTGGAAGTCAAGTCATAGAAGGAACGTTTGAAGGAAGCCAGTTTATACTGGGCAAGAACTGAACCTGAACACTGCCCTCCGGTGTCTGCAGAGCTAATGAGATGGGGAAGGGGCACCTGGGTGGCTTAGTAGGTTGAGCGTCCGACTCTTGATTTTGGCTCAGGTCATGGTCTTGCGGTCGTGGGATCAAGCCCCACATCGGGCTCTGCACCAACAGCACGGAGCCTGCTTGAGATTCTCTCTCTCCTTCTCTCTCTGCTCCCCACCCCCACTCATGCTCGCTCTCTCTCTTGAAATAAAAAAAGAAATGGGAAGAAGCTGGCAGTAACCAATTATTTCTGGGTCCCTAGGGAAGATGAGGCCCCAAGAGGGAACTGAAGGCAGTTAGTGGTCAGCTTGACAAAAGAACTTCCCACAATCAGAGTTTTGAGTTATGATAGCATAGGATTTTAGTGAGCTTCCCATCCCAGGGGGTATGCAGAGCCAGAGTCAGTGGGAAGCTGTCAGAGAGAGTATTCCTGCACTGGTAGGAGGTTGAAGAAAGACTTATGAGGTCCTTTCTTTGGCCTTGATCTCTCTGGAGATCCCTGTTTGGCCACATAGCCAGTGAGAGGTCAAGTCAGGGTTATGGGCAATACCCTCCTCTCCTCCTCTGCCTGTCCTCTCTGTGCTTCTATTCCTTAAACACAGCAAAGTTCCCACCCCACTACCACTGGGCCTTTGCACAGGCTGTATCCTCTCCATAGAATTGCATCAGATTTTGTGGGCCTGACACATATAAAGCTGGAGACTTTCTTTAAGAAAAAACCCCCCAAAATCAGACAAAAATGTGAATCGTTAGAATGAGAAACAAAACCACAACAAAATTTAAAAAGTTCATAAACGCTACACAATGTCCAGAAAAACAATATAATATTTATGTTAATCACCTGATATGCTGCCATAATACCTTTATTCCTACATTTTGGTTATATACTTTTGGGGAAATCTCTTCATGTGACATTTTCTTTAGAGAGAATAAGAAGATAACTTAGTTTTCTTTAGCACAGGTGACCCAAGGTTTTTTTTTCCCCCATCGTTAATAGTTTCAAAAAGTTTCCTTCAACTTCGCAAGTCATTATTGGTAATGTCAAAGGTCTTAGGATTATTGTCAAATTTCGAAAAACTTCGAGATCAAGGATCATAGAGGATCTCAGGACTTGCAGGTTTCCTTGATCACCAACCTTAAAAATTATTTGCATCGATGTCACCTCTCAACCAGTTTCTTGCCCACATCCTGTTTGTGTTGGTGTAGTTTGAGTTTTATTATTTTTTATTTTCATCGATGTCAGTATTCTGTGACAGCTTCCCCTTAGCTAGATACCCAAAATGCCACAGCAGCTCCCCCGATACCCAAAAGGAGGGGAAGTGTGACAGGGAGGAAGTTGGAGAGGGGAGAGGCAGCATTCTTTTTTTTTTTTTTTCAACGTTTATTTATTTTTGGGACAGAGAGAGACAGAGCATGAACGGGGGAGGGGCCGAGAGAGAGAGGGAGACACAGAATCGGAAACAGGCTCCAGGCTCTGAGCCATCAGCCCAGAGCCCGACGCGGGGCTCGAACTCACGGACCGCGAGATCGTGACCTGGCTGAAGTCGGACGCTTAACCGACTGCGCCATCCAGGCGCCCCGAGGCAGCATTTTTTTTTTTAATTTAATTTTTATTTTTGGGACA